TTATGTGACCCTCATAAACCCTGTCATGTAATCAGAGCAGGGGTTCTTATGTAAAATGACACCAGATGAGTTTGAGAGGCTTCAGGACTTGAAAGGACTTACATAGGGTACACTGGCCAGTTAGTGAGAAAGCCAGGGCAAGAAGGCAGATTTTCCTATAATCTTACTAGGCTTCAGTTTTCTATTTTGCCAGAGGCTGTCAAAAAGCAAACCAGTAAGCAGAAGTTAGGAATTTCAGGGGCTCTAAACCTCATGTTCTGTAGTCTTACCTACCCTCTGCAATCAGAATTGAAAAGGGGGAAGTGTTAAAAATTCAGGTTTCTTGGGATATAGTACAAACCTATTAGAACTCAATTTCTGAGAATGGAATTAAGTTAGGATAAGAAACAGCTACATGGCAATAATGTGGCAAGCATCAAGCATTTTGATTACAGTAATCTAATAATAATAGTAAGGAGAAGATGAGTCTATTGCCATGCAGTGGTTGGACTTTTTTTTCCCTTTCTTTTCTCCTTCTTTGTTTTTCCCTTTCTCCCAAAAGTACAGGGGTAGAAAATGAATGAAGACAGAGCACTTGGACCTGATACTCTAGGCTGAAAACAAAACCCAAACCAAAGCAAAACAACTAGTAGAAATGGGAGAAAGTAAATGTTTACTACTTTTTAACACCAGTCTTGCAATCATATCAAGCCTTGACACTTAGTGTCATCCTTCTGTTCACCAGGGCCCTGGGTCAAAATCAAGGCCACATATATTTGCTTTTGTTGGGATTGAATATTCTTTTCTGCTATAATCTCACCTTTCCTCCTGACTCCCAGCTGGAGTCCAAGACACTTGGTGCCTTAACAGAGATCTCAGTCTTCTAAACTACTGAAGGCTGTTCATTCTTCCTCATGGCTCTAATCAAAATCCCCATTTCTTAAGAACTATTGATCTTTGTGAGGTGCTGACCTAGTTATCTGCTTACAGCAATTTACACCCAGGTGTGCCCAAGACTGAACCAACTCCTTCAGAGGTCATTTGCAATTTACAAGAGGTGCCTCTTAGAATCTCTGGACTTCTAAGGAGTGCTTTTAATTTGCAAGGCATTTCTCAGCTTCTACCTCACTGCCCATCACTCCCCAGTAAGAGCATATTCTTTCTTCTAGACCTCTTTCCTGAGTACACCAAGTACACGTTTCTCTTTACAGATATGCTAGACTCTCATCTTTAAAAATGACTTCTCCTCAGGGGCAGTCAGAATGAAAATGGGGAAAAAAGGATCCATTATCAGTGAGCATAGGTTGGTACAGTGATTGAATAATACCTGCAGGACTATATAAATTGATGAATACAGAAACCCATGCACGCGTTTGGGTGTGTGTGTGTGTCCATTTTTCCTTGCAGATGAGGATCTCCATAAAAATCTTGAAAACGCATGTGTCTGCACACTTCTGCACAGCCCCTCAAAATATGTCAGAAGTCTGTTGTGTGACCAGTGCCTCCCTCACATGTTTGCTTTAGTTTTGTTTTATCTTTTTTAAGGGTTTGGTGTTTATAATACCACCAAGAAGAAGCGAGGAGGGGAAATCAGAGTATTATTCATTTGGTACAGAAACAAGTCATACATCCTGCAGAGAAGGCAGGGACTCTAGCCAACCTAGCAGGTAGTCTTCTATCAAGGAGACACCCACCCAGCAGGGAAAGAAAATAACAATTAGGAGTTCTTAGAGTCCAATATAAAAGGGCCATACCACAGTCTGGTGATCCCATGTGGATGGATTTTCAGTCTACCTAGCAATAAAGCCCAGGCCCTTTGTTCATTCATTTGTTCCACAAGTACTTTGGGGGTGTCTCCTATATGCTGAGAACTCTAGTAGGCACTGGGAATGCCACGACAGACAAGACAAACTTGGGGGCAGTCGCTCTGAGCTTCATGTATCCCTTGCCTTATGTATATTATTTTTGCACAGAGGATAAGGGCCTTATTTTAGCCATCATTTTAATTACAAAGCCTTGCATGGTGTATAAAAGATATCGCAAATCAATCTATTCTCTATAAAATAAATGGATAAAAAAAAGTCACACACATCCAAGAAAAGCGGTTTGCAAAGTTACAGATAGAAATTATTCCCAGAAAGCTATTTCAAACTGTGGGATTACTTCTGAAGGATCTCAGTTGTTTTTCTAGAGATAGGCTTAAAAATTAATTAAGATTAGAGTGATTTACCTAATTCTTGAGGTTTGTTTGTTTGTTTTTAACCACATATGGGGTTGTTGTTTACAAAGTAGGGTAATTAATTAGATCTCCAAATTATATCCACAACACTTTTTTTTTTTTTGGTAGTATAAAGTGTAGTTTGTGACTGGAAAAAGTTTGAAAAGCTGGGCCTTTTCTAATTCTTTTGGGAAGAATTTACCTGGGTAAGTCTAAAAATATAGTGTATTTGAAAGCACAAATTTCACCACCTTCCTCAAATGCTTTCAGTACTTTTGAATTCTGACTGGCTATTTCTTCAAAGACTTGATAAAGTTCTTAGCTAGTTCCATCAGAGTGCTGAAAAAGCTGTTCATTACTCTAGTTTGCTCACCTCAGAAATAATGGTGCTTTTTTTCACAGATTACGCTGAGAAGCAAACATGCATTCAATGCTTTGACCCTTAAGAAGCATAATGCAAATATAATCTATAATCTATCATTTTTCTGCTCTGTAATCTTCTTTATAAAACAGTAATTGCATGAGGACAGAGACTCTATCTTATTTTTCTTTGCATACCCAGTACCAGCTTATATTAATTGTGTTAAAAGAAAAAAACTTTATTTAAGCCAGTCTCTAACATTCTCATATTCCTCTTTATTTTTTTATTATTATTATTATTTTTTGCGGAATGCGGGCCTCTCACTGTTGTGGCCTCTCCCGTTGCGGAGCACAGGCTCCGGACACGCAGGCCCAGCAGCCATAGCTCACGGGCCTAGCCACTCCGCGGCATGTGGGATCTTCCCGGACCGGGGCACGAACCCGTGACCCCTGCATCGGCAGGCGGACTCTCAACCACTGCACCACTAGGGAAGCCCTCATATTCCTCTTTAGATTTTGTAATGGAGAAGGAAATATTGTCTTGTCGTTTTAAATAAAATGTCCAAATGCTGAAATATATAAGGTGGGTGGGTTGCTCTGAGTTTATCTCCAACTCTCCACAGACACCTCCCTACATGGTAAATTCCAGTAACTGAAAAGGAGACCTGAGGAGGAGGATGACATCTGGGAGCAAGGGGTTGGAGCAGAGAGAAATCTGGAAGTCTGTGCAGGGATAGGAACCAGTGGCGAAATGCTCAAAGATTTAAAAACAGAGGAATGATAACAGACTTCTCAAAAGCTTGTTGCTGTTGATTATTTTGATTCAGCTACAAAGCACACTAAAATCCTTGAGAGTGTTAGTAATTTTGTTGTTATGATTTATTATGTTTTTCTAATCATAACAGTAAAATAGCCACTGTTCCCTACCCCGAACAATCTAGAGGGATGGTTCTCAATCCTTTTCAACTGCTTCCACAATAAGACAAAGTTTTTACATAGCAACCAAAAGCAGGAAGACACACATGCAAACAAACACAACTGAAATAAAGATTGCACAAGACAATATTTACTCTTACTACGTGAATGGTGTACTTGAAATTTTTCTGCTTTATTTTGTATCTTTCTAATTGTGGTAGAAACTCACAAATTGATTCATGTCCCAATAGTGTTTTGCAACCCAAGTTTGCAAAATTCTGCCTTAGAATGGTCCTTGTGAAGGTATTCATAAATACCCCCTCCATGTGGTTACAGATTAATTTATCCCCAAATTCTGGACTTCTTTCTTTGGTCTTTTGGTCTGTAATTTGTTTTGAGTTGATGTGATTTGTTACAGGATTTAGTTTAAGTATATATCTAAGGAAGTTTACTACTTGGGATGAGGAAACATAATATTTCCTAGAAGCCAAAAGTGGAAAGAAGTTTTTTCACCCGTTTCTTACACTGGTCCTTGTGCTCAAAACAAAATGAGAGGTTGATGAAAATTAGGTTTTATTCAGGAATTTCACTATATTCTCAGTGATATTTCTGAAAATTTCTATTTTGCAAAGTTAAATAAACAGCTAATAAAATAAAAAGCCTGAAATACATGCACTGGTGATTTACATGGGTTAGTGTGCATTTCCTATCATTCCACATTTTAATGTTGTTCCAGTATATATTTACATTTCATAAAGGGCTTTTATATTGACAATAATTCAGCAAAAAATTCTCAAGAATCTTGAATTCTTAGTATTTCCAAACTTGGGGAAAACTTTAATAAGGCAGATGATATGATAAATATAAAATTATCAAAGTTTTCATATGGAACACTTATTTTTTAGCACATAAACACATACAACATAACAAATAGAGACATAAAAATATAAACAGAGAGAGTTAGAGGGACCATACAGAGAATTCTTGACTTACTTAGCAAATCACTATTTATACAACTAAACTTTGGCTACTTGCTTTTTCAAAAATATATAACGTGCTGAATTCTCAGAAGCTGCTTGAACTTATGTTATCTGACATCAAATAGAACAGCCTTCAGATAAATGTAGTCCATAAAAATAGGCAGCCACATATTCCTTCTGAATGTGACCACAGTGACTTCAGTGAATCTAACTTAAAGGTTCTAAATTTTCTTAAGGAATTTAATAACAACAGCAACACAAATCTTAAAAATTCTACAGATATTTTGGTCAGTATTTCAAGATTAAGGAAACACCAGTCCATTGGCAGCGCCTACGGTAAACACAAAATAAATCTCTCAAGTTTGTCTTACAGACAATAATTTTTATAAATATTGCTCCAAATCCTTGTATACACATGTGTGGGAGCAAACATGCACAGTGGCATTTAGAAATACACCCACACAATGCAAAGGAGACACCATCCTTCACTCTGACAGACCTATCTCCCTGATCTGGAAAAGGCTTTGATTATGTAAAACTTTAAAACTATTGATCAATTTAGGATTTTATTCAAAGTCATTTTTTAATGTATTATAGACAAAGACTTCATAGACTTAATTTTTCTTGGTTTACACAAAGCCAGTGTCTTAAAATCATTGTTGAAATACGCTTTTGGGGTCTTTTTTAAAAAAGACTTCACTGTTAAGTTCTGCTAACCACCACTCTGAGAAAGGAGTTCCTGGTGACTTAGACATCCATTAGTAGCACATTTCTTTATTAATACTGTTTCTTTTATACATTTATTTCATTACTATTTTTCCTTAAATGAGAAAAAAACAAAACAAGACAAAAAACCTTGAAAATCAGATGCACAACAAGTGGGACAAGCAGTGATTGGCTGACACCCCACGGCCAAGGGCAGGCTCCAGCAGGTTGCGAAGCAGCAAGGTCATCAGAGTATGGTGCATAATGGAGCATCATATTAGAGTGGAATTCAGCCAAACACAGTAATGTATGGATGCAGACGCATCTGAAAGAAGGAAAATAAAGATTTATGCAGGTCAAAAAAAAAATGCTATGAAGAAATTTCCCCAATGGCTTATGCCCAATTGGAATGCTGTGATGGAGGTTTTGGAACAGAGAAATTTTCATTTGCAAATTATGTGTTTGTAAATAATAAATATGTTCAGGGGGAAAAAAATTAACTTGTCAGATGAATCCTACTTGGAAGCTTTAATAGTTTTTTTGTTGTTGTTTTTACACAGCATTAGAGTTCAATAATCTGGAATTTAGTTCATCACTAAATTACAGAAAATAAACCTTTATTCCGCCTTTAAAACATTAATTCACCAGAAGTGATAATTAAGATTAGTTTTAGTGGCTTCAGCTCAGTTCTTCTTGGAATGTGATTTCTCCCACAACACTAATGCTAAATAAAGCACCGTGTAATGTTCTGAAAAATGGTCCCTGCTTTAGAAAAGATTCTAAGGGCTTTTAAAATAAATAAGAAAGAAAAGCAAAGCTGACTCAAGATATATATCTATATCTATATCTATAGATATATATAGATATAGATATAGATACACACACACACACACATATACAGATTCTACTATTTCTATAGAGTCATAGTAAATAAATGGATATACAGCCTTGCTAACAGCCTAGAAATTGGTTATATACAATTTAAACATAAAGCTCTAAACAATTATTATACTAAATTTTCTACATAACCTCCACTACCATCCTCTTTTAGGAAAAGAAATGATGTTAAAATGTCTGAAAGCATTGGGGGCTATGGTGAAGCAATGGTTTTGTTATATTATAGTTAGTTTTCAAAATAGTTCACATTTTATTTTTGAAATTAATAAATTCAATCTTTTATATTTTATCAACAGGTAAATTTAGAATCTAAAATGCTATACTGGTTAACTGCCTAACAACGAAGCAATTCAATTGAAAAATAGCAAAATGTCACATTCTTCCATAAATTTTCTAGAAAAAAAAATTAGAGGAAAAAATAGTTCAGAATTGTGTGTTAAGGATGCTAATAAAGTAAAGTGCATCTACAAAGTTGGCAAAATGCAAAGGAACATAGAGCCAAAGGAATCATCACTATTGATGGAAAAGGTAAAAAATTATCCCAATTAGAATGCATAGAAAGTTTCATAAATAATGTATAGAAAGCTTTATTCATTTCCATTACAAATATGTTTTTACTGAGGGTATACTAAATGCTAGGTAGAAGCTTATATCTACTGTCATTGTTCTGCTAAAATGAGAAATTCTCTCAACTGTTGAATATATGTTCTAAACCATATTAAGTTACTTTAATGTCCATCATCATTTGCTATCTTACATAAGAGGGAAATAACTATGAATTTCTTTTAATCTATCAAATTTTGATTATAGTTTCCCTGATAATTTTACAGATATAAACTAGAGCCTAAAGCAGAATTATATACTATTGTAAAGAAATCAGTTTTAATAGCCAAATATATAGCTATACATACATAATTAAACCTCAAGAGATTTCTGTCACTATTGAAATATATACAGAGAAAGAGAGAAATTCAATTTTTTTTCCTACAGGTAGCATGATTAAAAAAAAAAAGGACATTGGACTCTCTGCACTCCATGACTTGGACTCTAGTCCACATTATATCCCTGATAATCTTAACGATATCAATCAAATTAACTTTCATACTAGGCCTCAGTTTCATCTACAAAATGAGGGGGTTGGTTTGGTTGATATCTTTTAATTCTAAAATGTGATAACTCTAGTAATTTTAGATACAAACATTAAGCAATTGATTATGACATATGTCAGTTTTATATGTATTTAAGTTCAAATGTTTCCTACGTATCAATGTATGAATAACACAGGAAATAAAAGCCTAATGGAAACATAGTTGGTTTATATGGAAACATCTGTGTATGTATGTGTGAGAGAGAGAGAGAGATTATGATATATATTTACCACATGTGCATGCTTTTCGGCATAAGAGATATGTACTTACTCAAAGACAAAAGATAAGAAGAAAGAATGATTTTGCTATAGCTGTCCAGCTGCATGATTTACTTAGAATCCTGACTTAAATTGACTTTGTGGTCTTATGTCAAAGTCAGTAATTGACTTAGAAGTTTGGCGTAATATTCAAATGGTCATACCTGGACTTCAATAAAAATTTGTATATTCATTAGAGATCAAATCAGTGGATGACCCTTTCCTTGTTTCACAGACATCCAGAAAGCCAAGTATTGTTGCTTTAGTAGATACCTCCTGACTAAAGACACAGCCTAACTTTCATCAGTTATTAATCTCTTGCCTATGATTTCAGGTTGTATGTAACAAAAATCCCAACATATGGAGATTCACTGTGCCTCTTGAAAGTGTCCTTGGTCATAGACAGGAGAATCATATTGTAGAAGTTATTTTTATAGAATTAAAGCTGGAAGCTGTGGTTGGCATTTCCACTATAATACATATGGTGTAATATACATTCACAAATAAATTGATATTCAGTTTCCTCAGTGCTTAGAACTCTAATAGATGATGGCAAGTCATTATTTGTTTCCAAAATGGAAGTAATTAAAAACAATAATTTCTGCCATAATTTTACTAAGTATACAATGAATAGACTGAACACAGTTTGATCAATTAAAGGGAACTTTATTCAGATGGCATTCAGAAGTTCCTTAGGCAAGAGAAACTGTCACTGGAGTTAGTATGAATTTTTCTTGAGTATTTCAGTATCAGCTACAAATGGCTTTTTAAATTAATGTTTATTCAAGCTGTATCCTCTATATGCTTGCAGAAATAAAGTACCTTACTTTCCATTTACTAAATAAAATGAAATTCTTACTTGCCAGTTCATTATCTAAATAATATCATGGCAAGGATAAGCTCAAAAGAACTTGAAAATAATATACAAAGTGGGAACTTTACTTTTATATTGCCTATTAATCTTTTGGAATTATACTATTTTTAAGAAAATTGAAAAATACTTAACACATAGTAAAATAAACAGAAAAATAGAATGATTCTGCCTTCATTTCACAACTCAAAAGCACAGCTGAACTTCCAGTTCACAAAACTTTAACAGCCACCAAGACCAGGTTTACCAAGTAAAGGAAGAATGAAATGGAATGGTGTACACTTAATGCTGTCAATGATCCCCATTTTTCTCAACTAGACAGATTATTTAGTTGAGAACAAGGGCTTTTGTTTGAATTGCAAAGGTATGAACTATGAAAACCTGGGCTACTTAATCAGTTTTCCTAATGTGTGAATTTCAGAAATAATTCCGGCATCTCTGCAACACGTTATCTCCTAGATTCTGCCCAAGAGCAACTATAGAAGATTGATTTGAATGTCTCTAGAGCCTATGAAAACAAACCAAAAAGAAGGGGAGGGGGGTATTATTTACAAACTTTTATTTCTACAAAGCTGTTTAACTCATTGTAATGTAACCATTAAGAGGACTTAGGAGCAACACTTCATACCAATTCTCATGCAGATAAGAACACTGTAATAGACATCATTTCCATTATATCACAAGTAAAGAACTATGATAAGAAATTCAGGAAAAATATAAATAAAAAAACCGCTTTACGTCAGATAAAATCTCATATTTTTAATTAATCCCTACTGTAAGAAATTAGAAGACAGCAACCCTCAAGATTTTCTTTAGATAAATTTGGCATTAAAAGGGAGAAATTATAAGAAAATGCTGCATTCTTTATTTTATTTTATTTTTCAGTTTTAATCAAGGAAAATACATTTTGGCAATATTTGAAAACTAAACGTAATATCTTTTAAAAATAAATATAGAAAATCATCTATCTACATTACAACAAAAATGAGAACAAAAAAGATCCTGTTTATTATGTGAGATGTCTAAACAGAATGTAACTTTGTAAATGGATCCCTTGTCTCCTGACAGCAATATTGAGGAGATGAAGCATATCAATTACTATTACTAATTACATTAAGGGGAGTGTATTTCATTTGCCTTTCTTTCATTTTAGGTCAGCTATTTATTGTGGTTAAAACTTTATTCATCTTTTGAATGCCTAACAACACAGAAGTTTTTCAAAGTCACTTTTAGCAAAGTGCATGGTTTATTTCGATGGCTTTGTAGTTTTTCTCTTCTGGTATATGGATGTCTTTGCTGAGTTAAGAGACTAACACCATACATTAGTTTATTTATAAGCATATCACTTTGCCTTTTAAACAGGATGCCACAACAGTCTTGATATTGGCTGTTTTAAATATTCAAGAATATAGAGCTAACCCCATTTGATGAGCTAAATAAAGCTTAATGACAGCACAGAACATAGGAAGTGGTTGCATAAAGTATCAATAAATCTGCCACTTGATATGTCTACTCAAAATTTTAAGATTACATAATTTAGAATGCCACAGGACAAAAAATCCTATTAAGATGACAGTGGAGAAGTAAGTTTTCTGCAGAAAAATCTCTTCACATGCTTTTGCATAACACATTACCATTTTCTAAATAAATTTCTACAGATCTTTATTTGTGGGTGTTATTATAACTAACGTTATAAAAGTGCTGTTATTTTTAACTGGAATCGTCCTTGTTTACAAAACAGATGAAAGTACCAAAAACAAAACAAAAATCTTCTAGTTCCATGTAAAGCAATAACACAACAACAGATATACTCTCCACTTGCTATATTTCAGTTCAAAAGAAATAACTCAGGCTCACGTGCATGAAAAGACATCTTTTTGAAAGTCATTTAATTCAGTGTAGTTCAAACCTGTGTTTTCTTGGATTGCTTTGGTAACTGGATATAAAAGCATGTTGTCTTTCTCCTTATCCAAATACCTACAATAAACTACTATATATCAAAGACATTTCTTTAGAAAGTTGATTTTTTAAAATTATGACAATAAGAAATTAATATTTATCTCTTTTCTATATCTTTACTGAGCCCATCAATAACATCTTCAATGAGGCTATAAAATAACTTTTTTCTTTGCCTTAATTATTCTAAGATCTCACATTCCACATGCAAAACATATTTAATAGAAAAACTATTATTGGATATTAATTGACAGACATAAATGTGTTTCTTGAGATGTTCTGGTGGTAAGAAATATATGACGTTTTATTAGCAGAGTTGCTACAGCTTTAGACACAGAATTTTCCAAAAGATTTTTGTTGTGTGTCAAACTTTGATGGGCATGAAAAGTAAACTTTGTGAGTTATACACACACACACACACACACATATATATATATATTCCATGAGCAAAACTTTCAAAAATAAATTTTATATTTTTTGAAGTTCACCTCAGAATACACTTTTTTTTTACTGTTGCCACATTTCACTGAATAATAACTGTGTCAAATATTCCATAAAGCCTTTATAGTCTCAGTATATCACAATGCACATCAAAATATTCTTGCACACACTGCATCAAACATGAACATTTTTGTTGCTTGGCTTAAATAATAAATGGTTCATGTAATTTACTTTTGCCTATGAACTTTTATTACCAAATACAAATAATATAAAGGCCAACTGCATATCCTCATAGAAGCCTAATTGTATAGATACTTAAATAATAAAAATGTAGCTTTGCATGGTATTTGCGTATCATTAAATACTGTAAGTCAGCATTTTGTCAAAGTAGTCAGTTTTCCAATATCTCGGACTTAGTACTTCATTTGCATAAATCAGCATCTGCTGATATATATAACATAGCTAAAACTTTTATAGTGTCCAATTTGCATAGACAGCAGAAGTAACTTTAGAAATTTTGCCTTTGGATACAATTATCCACTTAGTAGCACAAAAGAAAATAATTTCAGGTTAAAACTAGCCATCCAAACAATACTTACATATTTATCTGGAAACAGAGAATGTAGAATGAATTAGGATTGTCAAGTACTAAGAGAAGTGTAAAACACTGCCTACAGTGTTTTCTTTAGTAACTTAGTAAACTCTGGTATAACATGCAAAATACAGTGGTGTACCTTTTGTACACGGCCTCTACTAAATAAATGGTGTATGAACTACACCAACACTGAATTCCTGCTATTAAAATTTTAACTAGTAGCTTTAAGAGAGAAGACAAAACTTTGCAGAAGATGCTCTGTTTCAGATACTTAAATATATTTGGGATGCATCTTACCTGTTTGCTGTACTTGTTATTGGTTTGACAGCTGTACTCAGAGCAGTGATCTGATCCAATTGAAATGTTGTCTCCTGCTCCCACAAATGTGTTAGCTGGTGGTAGATCTTGTACGGCCTGGTGTTTTTTTCCTGCAGTTGGTGACTGGGGGTGAAGCTGGACAGTAGGCAATGGGGAACTAGATTTGTAATGCCTGGCCAGGTCAGGACTGCCAGGCCCACCGTTAACTGATCGGTATCGGCCCATGCTTGGGCTGTCTGACAACTTCTCATTGACACTATCATACCTCTGTCCATTTGGTTTAGAAGCTTCTACAGTGACAATGCTGCTGTAGAGAGGCTGCTTAGATTTTTTGTTTCTCTTGTCCTTTTTAGGCTTTTTAGATTTGTCATGCTGTTGCGGTGTAAAAAAGTCTTCGTGATCTTTTTTGCCGGCTTCATAGCCATTTTTATTTTTGGACCGGCAGTATCTTGCCATCACTACAATTAAGATGATTAGAATCACCGTCATAATTCCAGCAACAACCCCAATGACAATACTGAGTCTCTGTTTACTTATTTCATAGCTTGGGTCACCGGCTATATCCTGGGTGAGTGGGGTGTGCAAACTTCTGGCTATCTGGGAGTCAATCACACTTGCATTAGAAACACTTTCATTGACAAACACATGCACCAGAGTCGTGGTAGACTGGGAAGGCTGCCCACTATCATTCACTTGCACCACCAATCTGTGCAAGCCATAATGCTTTTGGGTGAGTTTTCCCACTAAGGAAACCACACCACTGGTGGAATCAATCTCAAACAGCTTGAAGGGATTCCCTCCCACAATGCTGTAGTTAAGGTCTGCATTGATGCCATCATCGCTGTCTGTTGCCAACACCGTAGCTACTACTGTCCTGACATTACTTGAAGGTGGCAGTAAAGTGTAGGAAACATTTCTGGGAAGGGTAACTGTGGGGGCATTGTCATTCTCATCCATCACAAAGAGAGAGACTGTAGCTGTTGCGGATCTGGGAGGATCTCCCCCATCCACAGCCTTGACTCTGAATGTGTATGTGGTCTGATGTTCCCGGTCAAAAGACATTGTGGAGTAAATGGTCCCCGTGTCATTTTCAATGGAAAAAATGTTACTGTTCTCCTCTATGTAAAGACTCATCTCTGCATTGCGCCCCTTGTCAGCATCCATCACTGTGACCATTCCCACGGGACTGTTGGGCTGCAAATTTTCTTTCACATAAAAGGTAAAGACGTCCTGCATAAACTTAGGGTCATTGTCATTCTTGTCAGCCACCTGCACAATCACTGTGGTGCTGCCCTGTAGCACCGGGATGCCTTTGTCTTTGGCGTTAACTTTAAACTCATACCTGTCAGTCTGCTCGCGGTCCAGCACCGTATTGACGAGGATGTCCCCAGAATCGGGGTCGATGGCAAAGATCCCCATCACGGAAGAGTCCAGCGAGTAGGCGATTTCAGCGTTTTTCCCGCTGTCTGCGTCTGTCGCCAGCACCGTGGCTACCCTCTCGCCAGGGATGTTGTTCTCGGGAAAGTATACCTCCACCACCGACTGACCGAAGACGGGCGGGTTGTCATTGGTGTCTCCCACCTTGACAATCAGGGAGTTGTTGCTGGAGAGGCTGGGACTGCCCGAGTCCACCGCCACTATGACCACGTTGAACTCCCGGGTGGTCTCATAGTCCAAAGGGGCCGAGGTGTGCAGGAAATACTTTTTCTTGTTTTGGTCGCCTTCTGTGTCACTGGCCGGCTTGAGTTGGAAGGGCACATCGCCCACCACGGTGCAGGTGACCACTCCGTTCTCGCCTTGGTCTCGGTCAGACACCTGTACCAGGGCGATGGGGGTGTCGACCAGAACGTCCTCGGCCACGTTGGCCACCCCGTCCTTTAGTGGGATACGCCCGATCTTGCGGATTTCAATGGACGGCACATTGTCGTTCTCGTCCTTGATATTAAGGACCACCGTGGCCTTGTCGGTCTTGGGGGGCTGCCCGCGATCGCGGGCCATGACGGTGAAGCGCAGCTGGTTCACTTCCTCGCGGTCGATACGGTGCAGGACACTGAGCCAGCCGGACGTCTCGTCGAGGCGCAGCAGGCGCCGCACGGACTCGGTAGCCGCCCCGAACACGTACTCGATCTGCCCGTTGACCCCCACGTCCAGGTCGGCGGCACGCAGCTGCAGGATGGGGGTCCCCGGGGCGCTGTTCTCCGCCAGATCAGCCTCGTACACGCTCTTCTCGAAGCGGGGACTGTTGTCGTTCACGTCTGTGATGAGCACCCGCAGGATGGCCTGGGAGGAGCGAGGCGGGTCGCCACCGTCGCGTACACGCAGGGTCAACTCGTAGGAGTCTCGCTGTTCGCGGTCCAGCGCCCCCTTCACGATCAGCTGCGGCTGCTTTTCGCCATCCGGGGTGTCGGCCACCTGCAGTTCGAACACGCTGCTGCGGCCGCCGGTGCTGGTCCCGCCGCCGCCCTCTGGCGCGTCCAGCCGCCTCTTGGAACCACCCGGGCCGCCGCCGCTCGCGCCGTTCCCGCCGCCCCCGGGGTAGGGGGCGCTGTCTGCAGGCCCGGCGCGCCGGCCCTCGCCGCCGCCGCTGCCGCCCCCGGGCTCCTGGAGCAGCTCGTAGCGTTCGATGCCGTTGCGGCCGAAATCACGGTCGGTGGCAGTGGGCAGCAGGTAGAGAGTGCCCACTGGCCGGTTCTCCTCCACCGTGAGCGTGAGCACAGGCGACGGGAAGGTGGGCGTGTTGTCGTTGATGTCGAGCACGATGACCCGACCCTCGAACAGGTCCACCCAGCTCTGCGAGGGCCCGATCACCGACACCTCGAAGTCCAGGAAGCACTCGTTTTCGTCGAAGATCATCTGACACTGGGGTAGCTTCTCGCGGTCGATGCGCCGCTCACTGGTACTCAGCTCGCCGGTGAGGTTGTCGATCTTCAGGTACTCCGAGCCCGACTCGAGGCTGAAAGTCACCTCACCGGAGCCGGTCACGATGCCCAAGTCCGAAGCGACGTTGCCGATGCGGACGTCTGCTGGGCCCTCCTCGGCCAGTCGGTACCGGAGGAGTTGCTTGGCGGCCGCCAGGCTTACCGAGAGCGGTAAGAGGAGACAGCAGCCCAGGCACCAGGCGCGCGCCCATCCCATGGTCCGCATCCTCAGCATCTTCTCCTGCTGCTGCTGCTACTGCTCCTTCTAATCACGGCCCCCTAGGCGCCCCCCTCCTCCGGGGCCGGTCTCCTGCCCTCTTCCCAGTCCTCTCCCCTCTCTGTGAAGGGAAGAAGCGAGAGGGAGAAAAGGGAGGGGGCAAGAGCAACGTCCAGAGTCGGCCAGGGGGTACCAGCGATAGATCCTTCTTTTTTTTCCTCCTGCTTCCTCCTAAAGTTATTGTTTCATAATTCATGCAATGGGTGCTAATCGCCCGCTCGCCAGCCGCCGTTCAGTCGCAGTACTCACAGTTCACGGGACACTGAGCGCCGCGGACTCGGAGCCCCCGCCCCCGCCCCCGCAGAGTCATCACCGCAACGCGCAGAGGATCCCGGGCTCCCGTCCCCGCTCTGTCGGATGGGGCAGGAACCGGTCTGTCAGGCCGGCGGTGGAGCCTGGAAGCAGCGGGGAGCGAGCCTGCAACCTCCCCCGCCTGCCAACCCCGCTCGTCTTTGCTGCTACTCGAGTTGCGTCCAATTCACGTTCCAGTCACTCACTCCAGACCCAGCTTCTGCTCCGGCTGACCAGGCAAACGTGAGTCGCTTCCTGCACGAGGTGCTAGGGCTAGCAACAAGCCAATCTCAACTCCGACTCCGCTCAGGCAGCGGGGGAGCCTGTCAACAGATCCAGAATGAAAAATCCCGGCAGGTCGCTTCGGGCACCGTGCAGTGGAGACGACACGAGTCACACAGCGGTCCGCTTCAGGGTTCCCCCCGCGCGTGGAAGAGCAGCCCGAGCCATCTTCAGGGACGCCCAGATAGTCAGTCCCTTCTCACCCCAGAGAGCTCGGGTTTCTCTTTTTTTCTTAACAACTCTGCGCAAGGTCATTAGTCACGAAGCCGCCGCCTGAAACCGCAGCAGCCTTTCGCCCGCGAGGGTGAAGGCTGAGGAGTGCGCACCGCGCGGCGCCCAAGTTTGGGTTCGCAGCCGCAGAGTCTGTGCCTTTCCTCACCTGCATTCGGCCCGCAAGTCAGAGCACTGGGATCTGCAGCGCTGTGCGCGATTCAGGGAGGAGATTGCAGCCTCCCTCTCTCCCCGCTCTCTCTCGATCCCTCCCCTCCCTCCCTCTCTCCTCCTCCTCTCTCCTCCCTCCTCTCCCTTCCCCTTTCCCCTTCTCCCACTCCTCTCTCCTGCACGCTCCCTTCTCCTTTCTCCCAGTCCCAATGAAGGCAACTCGAGCTGAACTTGATCCCTATGCAGTTCAAAGGTGAGCAAACCAGGCTCGGTGCGCTGGCGAGGTTGGCCTGGCGAAAGACCCCAGCCGGGCTCTCGCAACGGCAGTTAACAAAGATGCCCAATTCTGTCCGGATTTCCGAAGAAAAGCAAAAGGCATGGGGGGTGGGGGGGGGTGGAGTCAGAGGCAGCTGCCAAGTAGCTTTAAAAAAAGAAAGAAAGAAAAAATCCAGTTTGCCAAGGGGACAAAAAGTGCCAGTCTGTTGTTGCCTCGGAAGTGCCCTGGCACGGCGGGTGAATTCCGCAGTTGTCTCATCCCCTTCGGTCTGGAGAGTGGTGCGGCCGCTCTCTCCGCCCCTTTGGCTGCCACGGCTCAAAGGCACTCAGTGGCAAGCGGGAAGCTCCCGCTCGCTAGCCGCGAGCCGGAAACCCGCAAGTTTGCCCAAAGTGGTGGTTGCTGCTGGGAGCTCACTGCCTCGCTCGCGGCTCAAGCCTGTCCCTGACGCTGCTGCTGCTGCTGCTGCTGCGGCGGCGGCGGCAGTAGCAGCGGAGCCGCGGAAACTACACACTAGCAGTGAAGGAGGGAGGAGTACCGGGGGGAGGGAGACAGGAGGGAGCAGTAGCCAGCCGCCCCGTTCCGGAAAGCCCAGCTTCAGCTCCGGGGGCCACTCCAAGTGTGCACAACCCCATCAAGTCCCCCCATAAGCCAAAGCTTGCCCCTCTCCCTCCCCGGCGAGTGCAGCCGCTGCGTTCTGGGGGGAACTTGCTTTCCCTCCCTGGGGCTGGTAAATTTCCTCCTCGCTCTGACTAATGCCGAGTGTGTGTGTAAGAGCGCCGGGAGTGTGTCAGCAAACGTTTCTCCTTCTCCCCCTTCTCAGATGATGTTCCCCACCTCCCGAAGTGTCTCTGGTTCGCGAATTAGCATCTTGGTTAAGGCTTGGTCAGCTGTGGCTTCGGGGACCCCGCGTGCACCCAGGGAGCCACGCTGGTGTTCTGAGAAACCATGATGGGCTGCAGGGTTAAGAGAGAACAGCGAACTCCAGAGAGTGGTAGAGGGATCCTTTTTTGGGAGCGCAGAGTTAGGAGGGCTGGGGTTGGGGGGGGGCGCGGCTGTCTTTGTTTAAATGCTTGGCATCCCTGTCGTCGCGCTTGCTTACGGGGGTAGACCGTGTGTGTGCGCGCGCTTGGGTAATAAACACATGTTGGAAGCCTCGATATTATTTTCTGAGCAGAAAACTGCAGCCTTTAGTAACTGGCAAAGTGTAGCGTCACCTATCTGGATAAAAGGGAAATAAACTTTAATGGCAACTTTGTGTACCTAAGTGTCCCTAGTTCCTTTCCTCTCCTTCTTTTGACTTTGTGCCACTTGATCGTACATGGTATTCCCCCACGCGAGGCTTCCCCAGTTTTCAGTCACGGCCACCGCAGCCCGCCTCATCGGATCTCAATTCTGGTCGTGTTTTCTGAAGTGCAGCCAGTTACTCTTCATTTATTTCAGCGGCTGTTAAACAAGGGGGCCCAGCCAGGATGGGGGGGGCGGTTTGAGGTGGGCAGGAGATATTTGGAGAGAATTCTTTCCACCTCAAAAAAGAAAAGGAGCTACTGCTAGGTTTTGGTTGGTCCTCAGCTGGTCTGCACAATTTATAGGCATTGAAGGGCCTCCTCTTAAAGGAAAATTTAAAGCGAAAAGAAGCAAAGAGAAAGAAAGCCGTCCAGAGTGGGTACTCTGCTTTTACGAGACCTATGTGAGGCGGCAGAATGATTTAAAGAAGACAAACACCAATAAAGTCTACGAGCAGTTGTAGCGCGCGGATGTTTAGGCGGGTGCAGCCAGCAGGAA